TTACATTGCCTGTCATCTCTGGTTTCTTGTGGCCTATCAGCAATTCATCAGGCTCCAACAAAGACTGAATCAACAATGGCCAATTGTCTTTAAGTTTCTTTTCCTTACTTTATATCGATGGAGAGAACACATTAGTAACAGCATTGTTTCTTGGAAGAAGTGAGTAGGAGGGGTGTATAGAAAAATGAATCTCAACAGGTGGCCAGTGACTTAACATCACTACTTGGTCCCTTGTCTCAATCAGCTAAAACTAGGCACCTCAATGTAACTAAGAGCGGAAAGCTTTCTATTGCTGCTCTGTCATATATTAAAAACTTAATATCAGTACATTACTGTGAGATTTTCACTCCCACTGATCGGGTCGTCAGAGTTCTGACCAGTACTGTAGGTTTTGTAATTTGTGGCTGTCCTACAAATTCTGTGTTATCGTGAGTTTAACTAAATAAATAAGTGCACCGAATATAATATTACAGTATGCTATTAGCAAATCATATGTCATTAGCAATCATAGGCAATATATTCTGGAAATATCTGGAACTTCAAAGTCTCAAAGTTTAAAAACTGGCAATTTTGACATAAAATTCATGGATTCATTGGTTAGGCTAAGTACGGACTTATTGATGTATCTACGTATACATAGATACATCAATAAGTCTGTAGCATAAAAATGAAAAACATTTATCCCACACAGTCAATAGTTATCTTTCGACATAATATCCTTGTTTGCCAATAATCTTAAAACAACACTTTTCCATTCATCACATTGATTTAACATTATACAATGAAAATTTTAGATCAAAATTCAATTATGTATGTATAAACTGTTAAAAAAATCAATTGAAATACATCTCAACTAAACGTAATCTAACGTTATCTTGTTTTGTTTTTTAGTCCAATGTCTAATGTCCTTCAGTCAGAGTCACATGCAGTGAAAATACAACATTCTTATGAATCATATTAAAAACAACCAACCACAAGCTTGGTACATTTTAATAAGATTCAGGAAAACGTAATCTTTACACCACACACACACATGCACAAACACACACACACATATACATATATTTATATATGTTTGTACACATATGTGTATGTGTGTGTGTGAATGAAGATATGTGCGTGTGTGTGTATGTGTATTTAGGCAGTATATCTTCATTCATACAGGTTTCATTAAATAATATAGACATATTAAGTCTATTTATTTTCATAACAAATCATTCTGTTTCTCTAATTAGTTTCTTGATGTTAAGACAAAATTCATTAAAGAAGGCGCCGTAGTTTTTGATAACCCAAGTACTTTCGACCTCCTTCGAAATCATCCTCAGGGGTGTATTGGGAAGACAAACTTATTGCAACTATAATTGTTGTGATGATGATTTTCGAAAACACGCGTGAGCGCGCTCTGTTATAATTATTTAAAAATTTAAAATTTATCCGTTGTAGCTATGTTGTATTTGCAAACGAGCGTCCACAATATAAGGGAGAAAACCAGTTCACGTGTATTTTCAAAAATCTCCATCACAACGATCACAGTTACGATAAGTTTGTTTCTGAGCATTTGGGTTAACATCAAGAAGCTAATTAGAAATCTAGAAAACTCGAAAGGATTTTTCATGAATTTATCTTACACCTGTTGTACAAGATGACTGCTTGATTGCATAAAGATGATGTTATTGAAAATGTTGTTACCGTATCCTTGAAAATTTAAAATAAATGAAATAACAAAACCGATTCTATATCATGTTTCTCCAACACACGTCCCCTAAAATGGAAACTGTTGTTTTCTTTACATTTCATCCCATGAATTATTGTGAATGCTGATTCTTCCTCCTCCACCTGCTCCTCTTTTCCTATGTCTAAACAATTGCAAAGATCCCGGTGGCCATTTACTTAGACTTTGACAATCACATAATACTGCTAATAACAGTACAATAATAGTACATTCCATTTTCAACATTTTTTTATTCACAAATGTTTGTGTTTCATCACTTGATCTCCTGCAAATACTGATTCTTCTTCATCTTCCTCTTTTTTTCCTATATCTAAACAGTTCCAAACACCAAAATGATAATGAATTTTTAATAAGAAATGACTATTATGTTATTACTGCCATAATTCATACTACCATGATGATTATTGAAAGTTTAGCGAAAGATAAAATGTTGCTGTGAACACAATCCTAAGTCGATGTTTACATTTCCTCAGCTGAGATTGCATGGATACAAGCTGATTATGTTGATATGGAATTATTCTTCGAATAGGCAATTTATTATGAAGTTATGCCAGTAATATATAAGGTAGAAATGGTTCTATTACTTTTATTATCAGTTTATTTGATAATGTGAATATTTCCATGTACATTATTGGTAATCACAATGAGGCAGAGGTTAGCCTACTAACAAACATCACTTAGAATTGAAGGTTTCTTTTTTAGAATTGTAGTATAAGACACCTCCCAAATTTTAAGGGTGATTTTTGGCCTTTAAAGGTCGTCTCATACACGGAAATATACAGTAATCTACTCTGTTACTAGAGAACCTGAAAATAAATCTGATTAAAGGAAAAGATCGATTGTAATTAGATTTACAAACAAAAATGACAAATTTGTGGAGCTGAAAAAGTTTTCGAAATTAAGCGACTGAGAAGAATGGCAGTAAATTTATCCTAATCCAAATCTCTCCAAAAAGGAAAACATAAATACAGATGTTGTGTTAAGAAGAGAAAAAAGTAGTGCCTGATTTGTGAGTAGAGTCCAGATATTGTAATGATAGACGAATCCTGGATAAATAATAATATCTTGGATAGTGGATTGGATACAATATTTATAGAAAAGAAAGAAAGCGAAGGAAAATTGGTGATTTATATTATATATATTAAAGATATATTAACTATTGACAAGATTTACGACCATATCACGTTCCCGTACGACCACCGAAGTTATGCAACGTTGAGTTCACTTGGGAATACCAGGTGGTGAATGCTTGGATGTGCGGGTGGTGTAAGGGATAATGGTTTGGAATTGAAAATCAGACAGCCGCGTTCCAATTCCTCCTGGGTTCGTTATATTCACTTACGCACAAATACCCTTGGAAAAGGTATGAATCCACCTCTTCTCACCCCAGCTATGGGTAAATTAGTAAGACTCGTATCACTAAATTATCATTTGCTCAAAAAAATTATTGCAATCTAAAAGTATTTCTGATTTTAAGTAACCTGCAAAGTTAGTAGGTACTATACAGGAAAAAGGTAAATTCTTGAGCAACCTACCCAAAACCTTTTAAAGGAAGAATATTTTGCGAGTAAAGCGAGAGAGAGAGAGAGAAACGAATAAACAAAATGAGTCGTAGATTAGGAAGAGAGAGAGAGAAACGAATAAACAAAATGAGTCGTAGATTAGGAATCAATAAATCTTCTACAGACAAAGACACAAATGAATGTTGCATCTCTGTCTTCGGGCAGATTGCGGCTCAGTCGCGGCTCTGTCCGCGAACAGAGCCGCAGCCGAGGAAAATAAATACTACTAGGTGCCCGGTACCAGAGAACAGCTTCCCGCGACTGTATCACACCCATTGCACTAGAAAGCAGAGATCTGTAGCCATACCGATACCAGCGCAACAGACAGTTGCCGGAGCTGGGCAATTTTTGTCCTTGACTCGAATGTACGCGCACAGGTTACTCACGTTAAACCCGACCTTGTGTCATATCCGGTCTCAGTGGGGGGGGGGGACCAGGGTAAATACGTATACAAATGAATCTAAATCTGAAGCTGTGTAGGATGGGAACTTAATGATCTATACTTATAGGTGTTGTAATAGCTCATTAAATTCACCTGAGGAAGATGAATTTCCTCGCCGAATTATAATCAAAGTATGTAAAGCAAAGAGAGTTATATGACTGGTGACAAACTTCAACCATAGAAATATTTATTAAGAGTTACTAGAAACGTGTTAGTACAGAATGAAGAGTTTTAACTCCATCGTTGGAAACAAAGAAAAGAGTATTGAACTGTTGTGTTATCTGTCCTCCAATGGATACTGGACAATCTCCTCAAAAATAAAGAAGAGTCTTGAAGCAACAGAAATGTGGTTCAACAGAAGGATGCTGAGGATATCATGGACCAAATACGTGAGTAACGACGAAGTTCTAGAGAAAATAGAAACAAAAAGGAATCAGAAAGAGAGTTGAGGTTTCTGGGGCTCATAATGAGGAAAGGGGGCTTCGAAAATCCGATACTCACGGCACAAATAGGGGCCACGAGGAACAGAGGAACGCAGCGCATAACATAGTCGGCTTGGGTAAATGGATGGCGGTACTGGGTTTAGTAGTAATAACAGAAATACAGTTGAAATTTCTAGAACATATAATGAGGAAAGACGGCTTGGAAAATTTGATATTCGCAGAAAAGGTTGAAGGCAAAAGGGACAAACAAAAAATGACGCATGACTAAATGGATAGCGGAAAATGGTTTGGGAGAAATAACAAAAAGACAACATTTATCAAGCGCTACAAAGGACAGGAAATTGCGGAGAGCCATGATCGCTTACTTCCTGAAGGGATACGGCACATGAAGAAGAAGTTGAATACGTCCCCATAGCACAGGATATATGTTATTCTCTATCTTTGTTTACATTATTTGCATACAAATTATTGTCTTCATCTTTGTTGATATTACTACAACTTTTGGCCGTTATCCCTTCGACACTCAACAGGTGTCTGTTGATCGACTGATTGATTTGTTTTTTACGGCTTATCAACCCTTTGCATGTTATTTAAATCCAGAAAAATATTGTTAGATTGTAATTTTTTTTTTTAGATAATAATGATTTAGTGATACAGATCTTACTAATTAACCCGTAGCTGGAGAAGAAGTGATAGATTTATACCTTTTTCACAGGGATATTTGCGCATAGGTGAAGATAACGAACCCAACTGGAACTGGAACACAGCACTCCGATTAACAATTCTGAGCGACTATCCATTACACCACCCGCACATCTAAGCTTACAGCAGCGGGTATTCTCAAGCGGTCACCAATTTAGGTACTGACCAGCCTCGACGTTGCTTAATTTCGGTGATCGTACGGGAACTGATGTTTCGACGTTATACGGCCGTAAGCCTCAGCTGTTTATCGATCAGGGTTAGATTGTTCTCGTTCTTGTCTAGGAAGGGAGATAACTCGTTTTGTTTTTATTTAGTACTGCTCAGTTATTGCTCCTTACCGTTTCCAATGAGGAAACACTGCCAAGGCCAGGGATTGAACTCACAACTACTGTGTCACCCAATTTATAAATCACTACTTATCTATGACAATACAAGATATCCGGATAGACTTGCACCTGATGAAGGCACAAACATTGGGTATGCTAACAATAATAGTCCACATATAACTTATTCAAATAATAGGGTAGGTTGTTTGAACTAATGGGCAATGTCAAATTTCAGGTGGGCCACAGAAATCTTATAATTTTTACTGGGCCACCAGGCTAATATATGGGCCACAGTTTATTGGCCACGAAATGGAAGTGATTTTTTTACAATATAATAATTTCATTGGCCACAGAAAAATTCAAGGTTCAAAGTAGGCCATAAGCTAAAAAAAGGTTGGAAGTTGCTTATTTAAACGAAAGAGAATGCCATAAAATGGTTTGAATGATTTAGAAAAAGCGTTACCAGCTTAAAAGATACGCCACAATATCTTTGTCTTGTAGAGTTTAACGATTACCTCCTTTTGTCTGAACTTGAAGCAGTTTTCTTACGGTTGAAGAAATAGCGCAGAAGCTGACTTCCAGCCAGTCACCTGTTCATCGCCATCTGCAAGAATTTGGCAAGTTGCTGAAGCTTGACCATCATCTGACAGAGGTCAAACGTAAGGAAAGAATGGCCATCTGCATTTCACTCTACTTTCGCTAACGTGTTTTCGAAATTTTGGAACATATTACTAAGTAGTATATTTATTATTTACACTCGGATTATAACCCTCATCTTTGTTGTTATTCTCAAAAACGTTTCGACTATTGTACGCTCCAGCCTGCATCAGGTGCTTTTCGATCCGAGTAAACTTCAGGGAATTTTGAATTGAACGCTTTATTTAGGTAAATTTAGTTCGATTATTGTTTATTGATTCGTTTTCTTTGGGTTATCAAACTTTCGCGGATTATTTAAAGCGAGAAAAATATTTTTAGATTGTAAGGCATTTTTGGAGATAATAATTATTTAGTGATAAAAGACTTTTCTAATTACTAGAAGAGATGGATTCATGCCTTCCCTAGGGCTATTTGCGCATAAGTGAATATAAAGGAGCCGACTTAAACTGAGACTCGGCACTTTGATTAAGAAATCCGAGTCATTACCCATGATACTATCTGCACGTCGACGTTTACAGTACCAGGTTTTCCTAAGCGGTCAACTATTTACGTACTGACCAAGTTTGGTTTGGTTTCTTTTGTTTTACGGCATATCAACCACAAAGGGTTATTTGATGCCGACAAAATTTGCTTTTTTTTCAACAATGTATCGCTTGTAATTTTTTCAGAACTGTATAACTGGTAATATTTTTAAAATAATGTATAGTTTGGTTTGTTTTGTTTTGTGGCATATTAACTTCAATGGGTTATTTAACGCTGACAAGATTTTTATTTCTGGTAATATTTTCTTTTTTCAAATATTTATTGCCGATACTAATTTTTTTTTGAGTAATTCTGGTATTAAACTCAATTTTTACACTTTCATAGTGTTTTGAGTCAGGTTGTGGGGTCAACTATTTGCCCATAGCTGGGGCCCTAACAGGTGCTACCACCCCGAGTTAGGGTGAACTTGGGAACACCAGAAATTAAGAGGTGGTTCCACGCTCCTCAAAACCTCCTTATCAGAGGCCTTGCTCTTGGACGTAGTTTATCGTCTTACCCAGGACGCGGATGTAGTTTATTGTCATACCCAGAATGGGTACTGACCAGGCTCATCGTAAAAAATTTCTTACAATATAAAAATATTTTCTAGATCGTTGTTTTAGTGAAAGGTAAATTGTACTGCAATTATTCATAAACTTTGGTATAGCATGTCTTTGCAAAAAATTCCAGCAATAGATTTTAATAGTAAAAGAAAATGTAAAGAATTTTTTTTTTTATTTTGAACAGTGCCTTTATAAATGCAGACTATCGGAACATTCATATCAGCTCAGTTTCATATCCTAACGTAAACAAAGCAATTTCTAAAGAAATGATGGACTTTTATTCATTAATCTAACAGATTGTATTAAACGTTCTTTTTATGGATACTCGCTTTTGTGTAGACGCTCCGTTTATTCATTAAACCGTGCAATTATTTTCTTCTACCGGCCTGAATATATCTAATAAATAAATACGCACACACACATATATATATGTTTGTGTGTGTGCATATATATATATATATATATATATATATATATATATATATATATATATATTATATATATATATATATAATATATATAATATATATATATATATATATATATATATATATATAATATATATATATATATATGATATATATAAAATATATATTATATATATATATTATATATATATAAGATATGTACTTCTTTCTCTATATGTATACGTGTAAGCATATAACTATGCAATTTGATATCTCTACATAACACTGATTCATAGCCAGAAAAATAGAGAAAAAAAAGACGTCTGTTACATTTTGAAAGATTTTGATGGGTTTAAAACTGGCGACATTTCTCGTCCTTGGGGGACGCTCCTTCAACTGTTTTGTGTTCTGAATCTTTTCAATCATGGCGGCTACAATGGATTCATTACCGGAGAAGGTGCGGCATTTTGAGTGATTTTGAGATTCAACATGATTGCCTTTTCTTTTTTCTAAGTGAATGTAATTTATTTTATACAGCAACTGAATAACAACAACAACAACAACAACAAAAGAAAGAATGGGTGTTTTCTTCGAGGTTCATGTAACCTGCTATACTTGTATACCGAGACGTTAATCAAACGTTTTGAGGAAGTCGAATAGTTTGATGAATCTGTTTATCTCTCTATTTATTCAAATGTTCTTGTGTCTCGCAAGACATTTTCTACATCGCACGAAATCACTTCACGAGGAAATAATACACATTTTCTCGTCTTTTCCTTCCTTCCAGAAGGCATTTCACGCTTTAATTTTCAAAGGAGAGGCCCGTATATGCGAACTCCCGAAATTTCTAGATAACACCCCATATATAAAAGACACACACACACACACACACACACACACACACACACACACACACACACATATATATATATATATATATATATATATATATATATATATATATACTACTATTACTACTACTACTAAAGAAAAAACAAAAGATGTTGTTGGAACCAATAGACAACTTGACAAAACCTAAAACTATTATCCAGATAGTCTCGAATAAAGACGACAATACTGAAAAAGTCAAAATAAAAAACTTACTTACTCAATATAGTAAAGTACTCGAAACCCATATTGCCTAGACCGAAACAAAAACGCTTACCAACATTAAATCCGATGAAAGGACGGCTCAAGTCGTGACTCGAGTTTCACGATAGTCGTCTAAAGATTGTGTTGTGTGAAGAGTCACGACTTGATCCGTCCTTTCATTACATATATATATATATATATATATATATATATATATATATATATATATGTATATATATACAGACACACATAAAAGTTTCATGATCACAGTTGAATCAGACCAGAAAGCAGTAGTATTAAAAAGTGCTCAATTTTCAATACACTTGCTTTTCTCCCTTCCCCCTCCCCCTTTCTATTACGCCCAACATCGTGCGTTTATTTATTTTTGAAAACAATAATGTAGCGTTCATTAGTTTAAAAAAAAATAAAGCGTTAAGAGGTCATTTGATAAAAATCGCCTGAAGATACCGCAAGGTTGAAACCAAGGTAGCGGATTCAACTAACCACCTGATTTTTTTAATTCATATATATATATATATATATATATATATATATATATATAGAGAGAGAGAGAGAGAAAGAGAGAGAGAGAAACAGACAAACAGACAGAAAGAGAGAGGGATATCTATATAGATACGGTTGATTGTAGATTGATTATTTTTCGGTTTATTAACCCTTTGTGGGATATTTAAAGCCGAAATATACACCGCCCAAATTGAGATCATTTAAAATGGGAATATCAGAGTAACTTCATGTCCCAGGCAAGCGAAATTAAATAGGCTTCATGTTGAATCATAAAAGATTTATTTGTCAAAATTCGATCAAGATATTCAAAGAGATTTAGATTTTAAAACCCATTTCACAAAGCTTCACAAATGTTCAATATGTGCATCACCTGTGATTTGACACACAAGTCGGTAGTGCAGTTCCTGCTTAACACGCTGTAGCATGTCTTACGCAACAAGACCCAGCGCCTTTGAATTTTTTGTGCCATGTCCAAATCTACTTTCCAGTTGGTGCATTTTTCTTCCGTTTTCTTGAAAATGCACATTGCACACTCTTCTTTAATTGTGTTCGACCATATTCAAACATCCGAAACGACTTTTCATTTCTAGTGGACGTCATTATTCGCCCTGAATTTTTTTTTTTTTTTTAAATAAACATTCACCGAGCGTGAGTTGGCTATTAGATCACAAAATGGCGTCAATCTTTTTGGGACACTCTGTATTCTGAATCATTAGGATATTTTTCTACAATTCAACACTCTTTTCTTCGGTTGATTGATATTGTTTAGCGACATATCAATCTCTATAGGTTATTTAATGCCAAAATCTAAATATTTTTGTACAGTTTTTTTTCTTGTGATAATAATGGTTTTAGTGATATAAGTCTTACTAATTAACCCATAGATGGGGGAAGAAGTGGATTTAAAGGCTCTCTAATTAACAGTTCCGAACCATTATCCATTACACCACCCGCACACCCAAGCTTACAGCACCTGTTATTCCCAAGCGGTCATCCATCTTGCTACTGAGCAGGCTCGATGTAGCTCGACTTTGATGATCATACGGGAACCGATGTTTTGACGTGATGCGGTTGTAAGTCGTACTTTCCTTGTTTCTAACATTTCTTTTGTTGTTTCTTAATCTTTAGTTTACTTTTTAAC